ATGGACTGGACCTTAGAAGATGTAGGAACACAATTTAACAGCCACTACAGGGATGCTGGATACAGCAGCCCAGAAGCCTGGGTGGTTGCATCTCCTCAGTCATGACTCCCCTTCGCCCCACCCCAGCCCTGAATTTTTTAATATATCTTTATTGATTTCAGAGAGAGGAGGGGAGAGGGAAAGAGAGAGAAACATCAATGATGAGAGAGTCCTCATGGAGCGGCTGCCTCCCACACACTCCCAACTGGAGATCAAGCCCACAACCCTGGCACCTGCCCTGACCCCGGGAATCCCACCCCTATCTCCTGGATCCTAGGTCCATGTTCAGCGGCTGAGCCACGCTGAGCCAGGCCCAGCCCTGCATTTTAAAGAGGGTTTGAGTTACTGGCACTTGCTTTACGCCTCCTTACACTCGCAGCCTGATTTCTTCTACCTCAGGTAATGGGAGGCATTTGGGTCTGTGGGGCTATATTAGGGCAGACTTGGGCACTGGGGGACCCAAGCTCTTGGCCTGGACATGTGTGGTGTTTCTACTGCAGGCATTAGCCTAGGGTTGCCCTGTGGCTTCTGCCCCAGATGGGAGGTCCCTAGTTCTTAGCTGAAAGGGAAAGCCTGCTCCTCTCTGTTGTGGCAGTAATGGCCCATTTCCCTCTCTGGGGCTCAGGTCCTTATGGAGGGACCCCTGACCCATGTGTGTCCATTTGTTGGAGTGACGGCTTGAAAGTTAAGGACAGTGGGTTTGTAGGCCTTTGTGGGGCTGGGTGTGACTTTCATACTGAGTTTCCCACTTTTCTCCCATACCCACCTGCAGGTAGAACACTACTACTCAGAGTAGGCATGATCTTGGGCTATATTACCAGAGGTGTTGTGCCTAGGGTGGGGAGGGGAACACAGGATAAACAGAGTGGGGAGCTCAAGGAGACAGGGTTACACAGGAAACCTCTGGGGCAACTGTAACTGCGTAGCCATCAGAAAAGGAGCACTGTTGCAGAAACCCTGGGGTCCAAGGAGGATAGACTAGTAGTATGTATGGCTGCAAGTGTAGTCCAGTATAGACACTGAGTAGAACAGAGGCAGGCTTTGATTTCACATATGGAAGAGTCAGCTCTAATAGTTAGAGGTGACCCATATCTGAAAGGTATCCAAGTCAAGGTTGGCAGACCATCAGGGATGCTATAGAAGGCTTTGGGCTGCAATTGCCTTGGGCATCCCTGCGAGGCTTCTGTGTGGGCCCTGCCCCTGCTACTTCCCTTCAGTTCCTTGGGGGATGGTGGGCATAGGAGGATGAGAATCCTTTTCCCATTCCTAAGCTCTGCTCCTGGGAGACCCCACAGTGGAAGGAACTGCTGGACCCCAGAGGTGTCTCAGAGTTAAAAAGTCCAGGCCCTGCCTCGCAGCATGGCCCTGAGGCCTTAGCTATTCCCTGCTCTACCCTTTCCAGGTGGGCAAGCCCACTACCCAAAGGACTCAGCCTTCTGCCCTGCTCTGTCCCGCACCTCCTCATATTCATCTCCCCTAAACACTGCACTTGTCAAGTCCTTTTCTCATTGAAAAAACTTCTCCACTTCCCTTTTGTTCATTAGGCTTATCTCAGACTTCTTGTCCTGGCATTCAAGGCCCTCTATCTTATTCCACTCCATGGGCCCTTTTCTCTAACTCTTCCTATCTAATTTCCACCCGTCTCTGCCCAACTCAAATATTACTTCTTCCAGGCAGCCTTACAGGACTCTCACTTTCTCAGCTCTTGTGGCTCCTAGAACATCCAGAAGGGTTTGTGCTGGGCCCCTTTCCAATCACTGGTGGGTTTTACTTAGATTGTATGGCTCTGACCCCCTTGCAAACAAGAGGAACACAGGCCCAAGACTCCTGGGTCTGCACCCTAGGGCATGGTACAGCCAGTACAGAAGGCAACATGTAAATGATAATAAAATGATATGTAAATGAGCACCTGCCATTTCTTGGCTGAGTGCAGGTGTGCTCTCCTGTTTCATGATGCAGATGGAGGACAGCTGTTGTTTTGGTCTCCCCTGTATGGGCCTCAGCATCTCCCAGCCACCACCTGGCTGACTCGTGGTATGCACTGTGCTTTCCCTCTGAAGGGCCACCAGCTCCTACTTCTGAATGCCCCTACATGGGGGATGGAGATGGGGACATGTGATCCAGACCTAGCCAGTCAGTTTGTTCCAACCCTCTGACCACAGTGATGGGGGAGTAGGGATTGTGACCCAAAGTGGTCGATTGAGATTTGCTCCCTAGGTTTTTGCTGGAACTATTAGGAAAGAGCATCTCTTTTTTTAGAGGGATGGGATATAAGCTGGAGCTGCTAGTGGCCATCTCTCATTGGGGAGGGAGAGGAAGATGGAACCCAGAAATGGAGACATACCTCTGATATCAAACACCTGGATCCAAAGTGCTTGAAGGAGTACACCTCCTGCCCTTCTCAGTCACATATGACAATAAACTCCAGTTTTTGTTTAAACCACATGGAATAGGGTTCCTGTTATTTGCAAGGGAAATAGTGCTAATCCAAGATATTTGGGGTCCCACAACTTTCCCAG